TTCCTTCCATACTGATTTGCGTCACTGTCTTCTAAACCTTCAATGAAAACAGTGGCATGACATGTGCACTGTAGGTGCAAGGCCTATTTCATAGGGGGTAAGAGAATTAGCCAACAGCAAAAACATAGAAAAGCTAACAGTGCATCAGGGTACTGAGAGCAGTGAGTGAGTCCAATAGAGGACTGCACTGTCAGGGTGAAAGGCTGGGATTTTTATAAGAATTTTGGAACCAGTAGGGCCCACTGAACTGTAAAGTTTAGATGTTTTTCCTGTAGAGAGAAGTGGCTTCTGCAAACTGCCTCAGACCTGCAGCATTAATGGCCGTTCTCAAGTCTCCTCAGCTCACTTGGAAATACAGGATGCCCAGCTGCAGACAGCAGAGATCAAAGTCCACAGGGGAGGGAGGGAGAGAGCTGGGCCAGGCAGGGGTGCAACAGGCCTGGACACAGCTGCTGTCTCCCTGTGCTCCCTCCCCACACTGCTGCTTGCTATGAAGGACGCTAACACACTGTACATGGGGAGATGGTAATTTAGGTGGGAGACGCCTCTAGCTTCTCAGAGCTGCCTTTGAATAAAACCTTTCTCCATGACGTGGATCTCTACAATCTGTTATGCCCATGTGCAAATAGAACTAGTCAGAATAGAAACAGAGCCTGTCAAAGAGGAGTGCTTCAGTGCCCCCAGGAGAGCACCACAGAATAGCAGAGCCAACAAAGACTCCAGAGACAGCTGAGGAGGACTTAGAACTCAGTTCAGCCCCTTCCACCATTCCACTTTCTCTGAGAGCCACTTCCTCCATTCTACCTCTGATCATCCTCCCTATCCCCCATTTCCTAAGGAGTAGGCTCTGCTGGTGTCACAAGGAGCAACATCTCATATCATCCAACTCTCTCAAAGCCTCCTAAAAAGTGGCAGCTCTGAGAACTCTCAGACGGTATAAGGTGTTACGAGAGCACAAGCTCATTCCTCCACAAATCACCTGGCACAGTGTTAACACAAACTGGAACAGTTTTCACAAGAACCAAGCAAATTCATAGATGCGATTCTCACTCTGACTTTAGCAAACCATCTGACTTGGGATGATCTCTGAGCACCATTTGCTACCTGCTGTGCCCCTGTACAAAAAGTTTAGGCATGGGCAAGGACCCAAGCTAAAGCCATGCGTGGTGGCATACACCTGTAATCCCAGCACTTGGGAGGCTGAGGCAGGAGGATTGTTGCAGTTTGACACCAGCCTGGGCTACAAAGTGAGCTCAAGTCCAGCCTGAACTGCATAGCGAGACCCTGTCTCAAAAAGACCAAAAAACCAAAAAAGAACCCAAGTGAAGAGTGATGAAAGAACATGCCCTGCCTGGGATCACACTGAGGTCATGGATAGAGCTGCTGTTTTCCAGCAGGATCCTCTTTGGCAAAATCAGATTAAAATGAGGGTTAGAGAAGTGCAATGGGGTGCTTATGTGTCAAATTGTGGGGATGAGAAAATGCATGAATAAGCCAGTGAATTACGAAAAGACTGGAGAAATCACCCACAAGCAGGCCGAAACACCTGCCTTGTTTCTGAGGTAGTTCCTTGGGATGTTCCACAAGTGTATCAGTATTGATAGTGACGGGCAGGAGGGGAAAATGGCAGGAGAGAAAAATTTAATTGGGAACAAGTTTATTAGGCAGTCCTCCACCAGACATTCATAAAAAGCTTCAGAAGCAGGTTATGGGTCCTCAGACAGACTCTTGTCAATGAACTTTTAAACTTGGCCTCTGGGAGAGCCAACAACCGGCACAAAATAGAGGCAACTCCCCAGGCCCAGGGAAGAGACTGCAGGCGCGAGAGCAGACACGAGTGCTTGCTTTGCATTAGAAAATGAAACCCTGCTTCACAGGGAATCTCCCAGACTCCCTGTGCAAAGAGAGACAACAAGAGACCAGATGTCTGCCGCTGCCACAGAGTCCCTGGACACTGGTATGGAGACTGGTACAGTGAACGAGGCCTTTCACAGGCCATGCACTCCCTCTGCAGACAGGCAAACGCTGGAAGCAAGGCTGCCCTCCTCTCCCAGGGAGAGGATACCTGCTTCCACCATGGCTGCCCTGGGAGAACAGAGGGGCCCACCGTGGCTGAAAACGCCTCTCACTGAAGTGGACGTTGCTCTGCCAGAGCCTTGGGTAACACCTGACATGAGATTAAAACGTTAATTTTCTTTCAGACATTGTGGCTTCATTCTCTGCCTTTCTCATGTCCCTGGGCCACCTCCTCGTACACCCTGCACTGTGAGGGTTGCTCCCGGCCTCCCTGTGAGCAAGTGCTGTACCGTGACTTTAGCCTGCAAGGGCGGAGAACTCACTCTCACTGACACTCTCCTAGTTTTCCCAGAACGTCCCACCCACTATCGGAAAGAGATGTTTCCGTGTTTGCCACGAACGTTTTTCTCCCACCGACGTATTCACCTCCCTTTCTGGGGGCATTAACATCAGACCCACTGGAGAATGCATTTAGAGATAAATTTGAAAAATTTCTTCAGAAGTAGATCCTTGACTCTGGGACACTAAATGCCCAGGAAAAGCAGTTTATGCCCAGTCTGTCTTCACTTTCTTCAAAGACCCCAATACCCATCTCCTCATGAACAATATTCTACCAAACCAGAGCCCCATGGGGGACTTCAGGCTCTAATTTCTGAATTTCTTAAACAAGGCCTTGGTCAGTTGCCCACGCCAGTGCAGCACTCACCATTCCGGCGCTGAGCCCAAAGGGGACTACCAGCTGGTGCGCCATCTCTGGACCTGCAATAAACTGCAATTCTGCTCATCCTGTAGTTCCTAATCCCTGTACTATTGTAAGCCAAATACCAAGTGCAACTACATGGCTTATGTTTTCCATATCTGAGGACGCCTTCTTCTGCATCTCCTTACAGCCTGACTCACAATATCTGCTTGCTTTTGAGTCCACGGGTCCGGACACTGTGAAAACTGCCCACTATACTTCAGCATTGCTGCCGCAAAAGCTCAGAGAGCCCCCACCAACTATGACACACTGATGGAAAAATTTAACGTTTATAGCTTTTCAAATGGAACGCCGTTCCGGTATTTAGAAGATGTCGTTATCTGTAGCCCTACAAACCTGGATTCTGTGAAAACACTTTAGGGTTTTAAATTTCTTAGGGCCTACAGCATCCTGAGTGTCCCCATAAAAGGTCCGATACTTCTCCCAAAGTAAAATACCTAGAGCATATTATAAGCTCGTGGAAATGAGCTCTTATCTCTGAAATAAAGGAGGCTCTTTCAAAACTAAAGCCACCAAGCCAAAGGGCAGCTCAGGGCATCCCTATGGATAGTGGCACTTTGAAAATTTGGATTCCAAGGTTTGGACTCACAACCACCCCTCTCTATGAGCCTACACATGGGGCTGTGAACTAATTTGTTAGCCCTTGGATTTAACTGGTTGACTGCTCCTGTTTTAGGACTTCCTGATTTAGGTAAGCGATGTACCCTGTATATTGCAGGAAGGCAGGGCATAGCACCAGGGGTCCTGCCTCAAAGTCTGTAAGCTAACCTGTGCTTTACTTTCCTAAACAAATGGACTCTGTGTCAAATGGGTGCCTGGATGTACATGGGTGTGGCTGCCACAGCAGTCCTGGTTGGCAGGTTTACTAAATTAACTCCAGCACAACCACTGGAATTCCAAACTTCTCATCAAGTTCAGAGTGTTCTTGAAATCAAAGGGCTTACTGGAGGACGGGTATTTACATTTGAAGTCCTCCTGTTAGACTCTCCAGAGATTACTCTCAGTATCTTCCAGATTAGGCCAGGTGTGGTGGTGCCCTGCACACCTGTAATCCCAGCACTCGGGAGGCTGAGGCAGGAGGTGAGTTGGGAGCTCGAGGCCAGCCGGGCCTACAAAGTGAGCTCAAAGCCAGCCTGAACTATATAGTGAGACCCTGTCTCAAAAAGACAAAAAAAAGAAAAAAAAAATCTGCCAGATTTTAAGTCCAGCAACCTTGTTTTGCACCCCAGGATAACGAGACCTTCTATTTCACTCCTGTGTGGACTCTGTAGAACAAGTGTACTGCAGTAGGCCTGATCTTGCAACGCCCAGCTTTTGGACAATGCTGACGCACATAGCTTTACTTATGGGGGCAGTTAGATAAATTACTTAATGGGAACAGAAGTTTACAGAATCTTCATCTCTAAGAGGTGACTGAGGAAAAGCCTCTTCCTTCAAACGCATCAGCACGTAAGCTGAAGTGATCGCCTTTCTCCAGGGCTTAACAACCACTGTGGAAACTGGTATGCAGAGACTCGAAATACAACTAGAAAATTCACTTACCCAGCTGGTCCCCTCTTAGGTTCTCTGTGGAGAGTTAAAGAGCGACACATGCATATCCGTGTTTATAGCAGCACAATTCAGAGTAGCTGCATCCTGGAGACGTCCTATATGTCCATCAGCAGAAGAAGAGGTGGTGTTTATACACAACGGAGTACCCTTCCATGAAAGCGAAGTCGGTTTAGGAACATGGGTGTACTTTGAGACTATGCTAAGGGAAATAAATCAGACACACAACCATAAATATCACAGGGTTTCACATAGGAAAATTTCAGAGTAAAAAATAGAGCACCGTAAAAGATAGATAACAGTACCCAGGGGGACAGCTCCTTTGCTCCTTGTAAGCAGACCAAGAGACCGATGAAACTTGGGGGGAGCAGAAGATAAGACTATGAAAACTGAATTAAGGATATATATATATATATGTGTGTGTGTGTACATTTCCATTAGGAATTAAATCATTATGCACCATACACATGTACTGATAATTAAAAAGACTGCCAATCCCAGGATCCAGTCTAACTTGGCCAAGGTGCTCCACACCAACATTCCCTAGGTAAACTGTAAGGCTCTAGTCCTTTCAGGCCCATCCCATCCAAAATGCCTCAGAACATTGGAACTCCATAAATTGGAGTTCCACCAACTAGATGAAAGATGGTTTCTCTCTGACCAGGGAGAGACAAATGCACTCAGAGAGGCTTAGTGTGAGGGCCCCAGCACCTGGGAAATGTCTCAGGGAAAGGGTAGCTGTGTGGCCGGAAGCAGCAGGGGGGAGCAAGAGCGCAGTATCTGAAAGCATGCTCTTCCTTCTCTTCCTTTTCTCATTTACACTCTCCCAGGACAGTGAGCTCACCCTGACTCTGGAGACGTGCCTTGTCCTGATCCCACTGCTTGTCCTGGTGCTCCTGGGGCTGTGGTGGGTCCAGCCTCCTCAGGACAAAGAATCCTCAGCCATGAGGTTCCAGAGGCAGCACGTGGACTCAGGCAGCTCCCCCGGCAGCAACCCCAACTACTGCAATGAGATGATGAAGCGCCGGAATATGACACAGGGACGCTGCAAGCCAGTGAACACCTTCGTGCACGAGCCCCTGGCAGATGTCCAGGCTGTCTGCTTCCAGAAAAATGTGCCCTGCAAGAACGGGCAGACCAACTGCTACCAGAGCAGCTCCAACATGCACATCACTGACTGCCGCCTGACAAGCAACTCCAAGTACCCCGACTGCTCATACCGTACCCTCCAGGAGAACAAGGGCATCATCGTGGCCTGTGAGGGGAACCCGTATGTGCCGGTGCACTTTGACGCTTCTGTGGAGTCCTCTGCCTAAGCCAGAGCAGCGACACACCCATCTCATCCCTTCCATCACTGCAACACCTGCCTTTCTCCTCTTCTGTCCTTGCCCCACAAGAAATAGCTGCAGTTAGGGCTCCTTCCAACACGCACACGCTTCCCCCTCCTGAGTCCTGCTCCTGCGTGGCTTTGGGGCTGAGGAGTGGGTGGTGAGGTGGGCCCCATATTAACTCCTTCACTGCTCCTTTCAATAAAACATAATTGCAGTCGCCTGATTCCTGAAGCATCCTACCCAAGTACTGTTCTGAGACTTCCAGCAAGAAGGCAGGTAGATCTGATTCAATTTGGTGAACATCAAAACGAAAAATTAAATGCCCCTCCTGTTAGATTTTCAGCGCAGAAGAAGAAACAAACTAAGGGGGAAGAAGGCCTTTACTTCAGACACAGAGAGCAGAGGAAGGCACGTAGCACTGAGCTCCTCTGGGGTAGACAAAAGAGGCATGGGTTTATGAGGACTCTGACTAGAGGCGGAACTTGTGGGGCGGGCTCAGTGACGCGTCAGGAGCTGATTGGGGTTTCCCTCCTTTGCGTGGAAAGGGTAAGAGGAAGTTGTGTTCGGAGCGGGGCAGGAACCTGTCACCTCCCCCATCACTGGTGGGTTTCAGTGTCATCAGAAAATTCCCTTTCTTCTTGATTCCTTGATGTCAAGTACGAAAATTTTAGGTGATTACTGTTCACATAAAAGGCAGCCACAAAGAAGGACATGATAGTTCTGGGTAAACTGACAAAGGTAAAGCTCAAATGCCATAAGTCTGACAAGGAGGAAGAGCATGGCCACAGAAAGGCCCTGCAGATACTAGTGGTAGAAATGAGGAGTCTATGCAATCCTGACCTTAAATTTCCAGGGTTTTTGTTGTTGGTTGAGTGAGCTATTTTCACATCAGAAAAATGCCTGTCACTTGGCAAGTCAGGTCCTTAGTCCTCAGAACTCGAGGAGACCAGAGGTCATGGTCTTGAGGGACAGCAAGTAGATTTCAGCTTGTGCCCTACTTTATGGGAAGCAGGTGCCTAGACAGCTATAGACGAAAATGGACACGGTGCTGTGGCTGAACCACAACCTCTAACTGAAGTGTACATGGCACACGACTGCCAGCCCTGACCGGATATAAGCCCCACTTTTTGAAGAACTTGCTCATGGTCCCAGGCTAGTGGCAGAGCTGGGACTGCAACCCAGCACTCCTTAGTCTTTCTGCTGAGAGTTTAATTCAGGAAATAATTTCCCAGTCTCCGTTCTTCCCCAATGCTAAGGAGAGCTGCCTCTCTCCTCTGGCGTGATTGCCTACAGATCTCCAGTATATTTGGCCTGTGATCCAGACCTCACAGTTCTTGGCAGCCCCTCCTGATGGCAGTGAAAGGACTAGATTAGGTTGCCCTCACCTCTGGATCATTACATTTGACCCACTATCGGTGGTTCTATCTGTCTTTATATAGATTCACAGAACTAGGGAGAGACCCTATTTCCAACAAGTATGATCAGCTCTGGTTTGATTGTTTTTGTTTTTTGAGAAAGGGTCTTGCTATGTAATTCAGCCTGGCCTGGACTCACTGTGTATCCCAGGCTGGCCTTGAACTCAAGGCAATCCTCCTGCCTCAGCCTCCCAAATTCTGGAAATACAGGTTTGTGCCACCGCATCTGGCTCAAGTCTGTTACTGTCTTTGCACATTTATAGATGTGGGAGTGACTCTGACAGTCCCAGGTGTTGTGTCACAGAAACCCATCTAGACTCAGACAACAGGAGAGCATAACTCAGTGGCCCAGCCCCTCCTTGCTCCTAAGAGCTGAACAGCTGTGGACTAAGTGATCACCTGATGCCCGCTGCCCCACTGGCCATCCATCCACTCCTGCTTCACCCTCTTCAATTCAGGAGCCAGGAGTCACTCAACCCAGCACTGCCCCACACCAAAATAGAGCCATCAGCAACACCTAAAATGAGTCCTTCAAATAAGAGTACACCCTGGGGATTGAAATCACATCCTTCATATAGAGCTACATCCCCAGCCCCTATTTTATGTTTTTTACCATTTTGCAATAGTGTCTTGCTAAGCTGCTAGTAGCCTAGCCTAAGCTTGAACACGTAATTCTCCTGCTTCAGCCTCCCAGATTACAGGTCTGTGTCACTGTGCCCAGCTTTTTTTTTTAGTCAGGGTCTCTCTGTGTAGCCTAGTGTGGCTTTGCAATCCTGCCTCACCTCAAGAGTGCAGGAATTTCAGGCACATGCCATGACACTTGGCCATTTACAGCACCAAAGCAAAAGAGCGAATGACCACTGGAGCAGCGTCTCTCCTCCCATGGGCACCTCTGTCAGAAAGGCTGATCCCAGACCGAACTCTTGGCATGAACTGGCCTCAAAGTTTTAAAAAATTAGTAAAGGACAGGGGAATGTTGGGGATAGTTGTGCATGCTTGTAATCTCAACACATGGGAGACTGGAGCAGGTGGATTGTGAGTTTTAGGTCAATTTAAGCCAGATCATGTCAAAATTTTTAAAAATAAACAAAAAGAATAACAGATGTGGTCCAGCATATCCTGGGTTTAATCCCCAGCATCCCAAGCACCGCCCCCCCCCCCGCTGACACAAGGAAAAGACAATAAAACAGAAAGTCTGTGTGTGTGTGTGTCTCTCCCTCTCCCTCTCTCTCTGTGTCTCTATCTCTGTCTCTGTCTCTCTGTCTCTCTGTCTCTCTGTCTCTCTCTCTCTCTCTCTCCCTCTCAGGGATCCACATCTCCTCCCGATAAGAATGGGCACTGGCTTCAAGGGAAACGTAAGGAATCAGGAGCACAGTGTGAGAGGCGGAGGACTCCTTGCTTGCACTGACAGAGACTCGGGGGCAAGGAGCTGGATGAGCTTCAGGGAGACTCAAAGGCGGCCTGGAGAAGGCAGGGAGCACAACTGGGGCAGAGACCATCCCTCTCCTCCCGCCTCAATTCAGGAGACTCCCCAGGCCACGCCTCTTGAGTGCTCTGAGAGAAGCAGAAATAGAAATAACAAAGGTGCAGACAGTCTCTACAGCGCCAGCCCAGACCACAGCACACTGGACAGTTCCCTGACCCTCAGGAGCCCTGCCCCCACTCAAACCTCATGAGGGGTCACAGATATGGACTGATCTCATGCACATAATGCAATCAGAGTGAACTCGGGGACACACATGCAGATATGGCGCCCCGAGATGACTCAGCAGCCTGTCAGTCATTCCTGTCCATCTCATCCAGAGACCCAGAGAGAAGCCCTGGACTGGGGTGCATGGCCTTTCAAATTCACGGCTCTTTACTCTTCTGTCTCCCCAACACCACTTTTCTGTCCCTGCCCCTGAGCACATCTTTTGTCATCTTCCACAAGTGGAGTTGTTTTTCCTTCACCAGAGGATGTGCACTTGCGAGTCTTTGTTCGATGTGCACAAGGTCTGGAATCTGTCTCTCAGACCTACTACCCAAATCATAGGAGCCTAGCGACAATAAGGTTCTTGGAATATGGGAGCGGATGATTTGAGAGGTGATAAAAACACTCTCACCAGGATGCAGTAGAAGTCCTTTTATTACTGTGAATGCGGCGCAGTGAGGCTTGACAAAAGGGACAAAGGCCTAGAACTTTTATCCCTTTCCACATTGGCTTGCTCCAACACAGACAGATCTCCAAAGCAGAAAAGAGTTACATCTATTCAGTCCCAGGACTGGTACAGTATCTGTTATGGTTTGTGTCTGGGTGTCCCCCCAAATCCTCACAGAGTCATGGGGTGAGATTCTAGAATTTATGATTGATTCATGGTCCAATGCTGGAATTATGGATGTGAGTGTTACACCTGCCCTGGGGCAGATAGTTTGCATACAGTGTAAGGGAGGGAAAGAGCCTGCTTGCCGTAGCTCCTCACCTGTGCTCTGTTGCCTTTGCTGTTTCCTGCCACCATGAATGGTTGCCCTCTGCCCTGTACCACTCTGTCTTGGAGCCAGCCAAGTATAGACTGAAACCTCCACAAACTGTAAGCTACATAAACCTTTCCTTTCTTAATTTTGGGCATTGGGTATTTTCTCTCAGCAACAAGAGAAAAGTAACCTAAGCAGTATCCTAGGTACTCAAATCCTCCCAACACCTCCACTCTTTCTTTTGTGGGAACAAGAAAATCAAAAAAGAAAAAGATTAGCAAGGAAAAGGAGAAAAATGGAAAAAGCAGAAAAAACTAATAGAAACTGTGTCAAAATAGAGAAAAAGTGGGGCTGGGGATTTAGCTCAGCGGCAAAGCGCCTGCCTAGCAAGCGCAAGGTTGTGAGTTCGGTTCCCGGTACCGGAGAAAAACCAAAACCAAAAAAAAAACCAAAAAAAAATCTCATACAAAATAGAGAAAAAGTGACCAAAACTTTAGAAAATCTAATCTAAGTGTTTGGAAACCAGTGGATCCTGACAGTCACAGTTCTGAGGTAATGCACAGGCCACCACAAAATTTGTGCCAGTAGCCCTAGCCCTGCAGTGTCAGTGAGGAGGCGTGCCCTCTCCAGTAAGCCAGCAGACAATTGCATTCACGGGACTTGTGATGGAGACCACTACGAAGCAGCTCTGAGCAGATTTAAAATGAACCAATTAGCTTTCTGTGTTTACTTGTGAGTCTGTCAAAGGCCTAGGCCCCTTGTCTGAAGATGCACAGTAGACTCATAGTAAGTGAACCTCTGTGAGTCACTGGTCCCGGCTGAGGCCTGTAGCGGCAGGTGAAGCCATGAAGCCTCAAAGAATAAGACAAGGCCACTGCTGAGGACACCTGGTTCCAACCTCAATTAGCTAGAGAAAGACTGCAGCTGCAGGCATCTCACTCCTTTGGTGAAGGTCTTCCTGGAGATCACATAGTTCTCTTAACATAACCTATTACTTGGAAAGTCCTTGAACTGACTCCCTAGGCCCTGCTCAGATTCCCACACTTTCTTCAGTATCCTCTTCCCTTGTTTGAAAACCAAATAAATATGGGCTACACAGTGAAGTTATTTTTCTCAGCCCCAGAGAATCTCGAATTCTGTTAGAGGGTTTTGATCCTCCTGGAGCCCTAAAATCATATCATTTGTCTCTTTTATGTAAACCTTTTCTGTCCACTTGTTTGGGAGATAGCAGGCGTGATCAGTCCACAATAACTGACAACAGATCTGCACTTGGGTGGCAGCTATTGTAACCATTCTTGCAGCATGTGTGGGGCAAAGTACAGATGTCAGTCACATTTTAGAGAGTGATACAGAAAGGTGTTTGTATGCTGACGGGTCAGGGAGATGTTGACTGACAGCAACTGTTGTCTGGTTGCATGGGAGAGGACTTGGTTATATGTACTGAATGGGTGAAGCCCAGAGGCACAGCCCAAAGAGGACACAGTAGCACAAACAGCCCCAGCAGCAACAGGAGAGGAAATTGCACAACTCACACCATCTTGCCTGTACAGG